CCTTTCCTAGTGTGGGAAAACAATAATAGGAAGAAACTCAGAGCCTAATAAGCTCTGGAACTAAGTGAAGGTCACAGCATAATGCTGCTGCTCAGATGAGGGACTTGACCAAAAAATGGGTCAGTTGCTGATGATTTTTCAGAGCTCAGCAACAGTAATTTACAGCTGACATTGAGCAAAACTGTGCTGTCGGCATGGTTCTGGCAGCTTCCCTTTTTCTGGGTCCCTAGTACGGCAGTGGCTCAGAAATGAAAAACATGAAGGTGAAAAGTGTGGTTGAGAGGCCATGTCATCTCTGTGTTAGCCTCTCAAACAGATTTGGGTGCTTTGTATAATACCCAGGTTACATGAGAGATTGTCTGGGACATGGAGTTGTTGCGCAAGTCGAGGCAATGTTTGCTTGTTTGCTGGGAAATTATTTTGGAATAAGACTGCCTAGAGACTTGTGTACTACAGAAGCACCCATTTCCTCTTGACTTGATCTTGGATTACAAGTATGTAGTGGTGGTGTTTCCATGATGTGATGTACATCTAGTCTTGGAATGAGGTCAGGGTACCTGTTCAACTTTTTTTCATTTTGTAGCCTTCTGGAGTTTGTCTTTGCTTGTAACACATCTTCCAGGGACCAACTCCGCTGGGGTAGGGTTGGATATAGACTGGAACAAGATCTTAGCAGTGCAGGCAAGTTTACGGCTTCAGCCACACTTGGCAGCTGTGTACTGTAGCTAATGTGGAACTGCAAGTAATCCTGCATGCCTGGGGATTTAGGAAGCCCTGAAGCCCTGTGGCATATGGACAGCAATAGTGCTATTAGCATGAGGGTCCCAGATGAGCATCTTCATGGATTACCGAGCACTGCAGATATGCCACTTGGAGTCATGTATCAGGTTTGAGAGAAACACGAACACTGTGTCAGCCTTTCTACCTCACCATTGAGGGCATCTTACATGATCAGGGTGGCTTCAGGATGTCCTTTCTATCAGAGTGGTCAGGGAAGATCTCTGAAACCCGGGTCTGATACCCCTCTGTGGGCATCAGCACACGTCTTTGTGCTGCCTGTTGCAAAGGTATGACGCCTCTGCATTTCTGAGGTGTGCCTTATCACAAGGTTTGAAAGTGTCTGGATTCAGATTCTATATCTGTCCCCCAAATGGCTTCTTGATAGTCATTTAACAGATAAAACAAGCAGAATCATTTTGTCCCTTGTTTGTAGCTCAATACATAAGATGTGAATAAGATCATCACAAGATGATGTTTTTCTGCCCCTTAGGGGGCTGAAACTAAATTAACCTGTTATCTGGCAATTTGGCCATGACAGTTCCCAAGGACACAGAAAACCCACAAACAAGGCAGTGGGTGAGATCCAGGTGCAGTGTCTGAGCGAGGCTGACGGGGAGCTTGCAGGGAGTCGGAATCGAAGGGAATGCACCGGGGTCCTGTGTCTCGCAGTCCCCGGGTCAGCAAAGGAAAGGGCAAGTCTGAACGGTGCTGGAGTGGCCTAGAGAGAGCTGTGATAAGCAGGTTTGTGTTGGAGCATTAGGGAAGGTCACAGGGAGTACCAGGACTGTCCTCAAACGCTGCCTGTGCCACTTTCCAGGGAAATGCTGGAAAGAGCAGGCCCCTCTTGGCACTGCTGAGGAGTCAGGATTTGACAACATCATTAGAGCAAGTGGGAAACCTTGGTGGTGAGGGACCTCAGCAGAGTTCAGTGTGGGAGTCCGAAGGGAAGGTGAGCAGAGCTATGGGTAAGGATTGATACAAGGAAACCTGTGAAAAATGAAATTAAGGGTGTTACACACTGGGAAGCAGGACCTGCAGAGTTTTCCTTGTTGCCCTCTAAGTTGCTCTCTGTCTTTATGCATTAACTTGTCCCCAGCACAACAGAATCTGAACTGGAAGTCATGTTTGCATACTGCAATAGCTGCATTGGAATAGCCAGGGTCCTTTCAGCTTTCAGTCCTCGTCAGGGACTTCACAGCGCTGTGAGTGAGGACAGCAGTCACGTGTGCTTGGCTGTGAAATTGCTTGTTTGTTTGATTTTAATGTCCTGGAATAGATGATGGATGCAGTATATTATGAACTTCTGAGTCTGTGTCGTTAGTTCAGGGGTGACAAATGGAAAGAGTGCAAATGGGACCTCCCGATGCGAGAGCTGACCAGTATATGGAATTGGTCAGCAACTCTGTTACACACCCATCTTGCATCTTCATCTGGAAACAGAGATAAGTTGATGGTTGTGTTGGAGAAAACTACTATGGCACGGGTGTTATAAGTGTAGAGGCCCCCAGCATGTGCTTGTGTCTCCAACAACTGCCACTTTACACTGCCTGCCAGGAGGAGACCTTCCCATATAGCTCGTGATGACTCTACAAGTAGCCCTTGGGGGAAACCTTTCTAGGGCATATTCCCTGCAGCACGGGTGGGTCCTAGTCTTCCAGCTCTCATCTCTCCTTGTAGTAATGGCTCTAGGCAGGAATAACAACCAAAACATCTCTTAAAAGATACCACCGACTGCAAAGGCCAAAGGGGTCTGTAGGCAGCCCAGGTTCAAGCCGAGTCCGTGCAGATGCAGGTGGCTGGGTCATGCAGCTTCTCAAGCAAGACTTGGAATCGGAGCGTTCTGCGGGCTGTGCTGCGCTCCAGGCACGGTGCCATCCTTAGGACTCACCACAGAGAAGCTAGGAGGAGGAATATCACGGTGCATCCCTTTTATGGTAAAACCTCTGATGCTGAAGAGAGATCCTGTCTTCCTCAGAGCAAGATGGGGACCACGCCTCAGGAGCAAACGCAATGGGAACTGGGCCGGTGGCTGCTGCATCCCAGGCACATACCAGAGGGATCCCTGCACTAATAGAGCAGGAGAGGGAAATTGTCTTGCGAGACAGAACAGAGGAGCAAGATTCTGCTTGAGCAGTGAATGAGATGAGGGTTGGCCTGAGCCCAGCCTCATGAATAAATGAGCAGCTTGGGTGCTAGGAGTGACATTTCTAATAGGGAGGAAGCAATAACAAAGCAAAGTGGGGCAAGTCTGTATCTGAGAGACTGTGTAAGAAGGCAACTTCTGGGATTACTCTGGAAAGGAGCAATCACATATCAGTGTGTGGGGGACTCAAGAAAGGGAAAATCCACGGCCAGTATGGATTGTTTCTTTTCTTTTTCTTTCCTTTTTTTTTTTTATTTTTTGGTCTTGGAACCTGTGAAGCGAAGGAAAATGGGAGCTTCAAGAGGAACAGAGGTGGTAGGAACAAACTAAAGAGTTTGCAGTCCCAGCCACCTGTGATGTTGCTAGCCCATGTGAAAGGCGTATCTTGGTAGCATCTAGAGTCCTGTCAGGTTGGAGACCCGCTTTGTGTTGTGCAACAGAGAAGAGGCAGGACCAGATCCTGGACCTGCAGGCTGTAGAGTCAAACAGTAGAACAGCTGGCAATGCAAATATGGGGTGCAAAGAGGTGGTATTAAAGAGCGGACACTGCTGAGCTGGTTCTATACGTAGTCTTAAAGGGTTAAATGGGATTGAAATGAATAGAAGGAACACAGGGGAAAAAATGTAGTCTTTGATCAAGACAACTGCCTTGTCATTTGCACCTGGCTGGGGTCCATAAGCATCACTTCAGTAGGGAATTTTCCACAAGACCTGAAGGATGCTATAGTGGATCTAGGGAGAAGTTTGCAGGTACAGTGCAGTGTGTAGGAGGCAGCATAGAATGGTCTGAAAGACATGTTTGGAGATAGAGTAAGGGCTGCAAATGGGTGTGGGAAAATAGGGTCAGGTCCATAGTAGAACAGCGGTGGAAAGTGGATTTGTGCCTCAAGGGGGAAGATAGGAATGTCTGCACTTGGTGTGAGAGTGGAGAGGGAGCCAGTGAGAGAACCCTCAGGAGTGGTAGAGAGAAAGCCAAGATGATTTCAGCAGCTGCTGCGGGCTTTTCCTCCAGGGTCCTGCAGCAGCAGGTTAAAGGATCCTTGCAGGCAAACCCAACTTGAGAATGTGGCAGTCACTTGGGCTTCTTTAGGCCATGGAGCAAACAGCAGTATAGCACAACACTGGGAAATGGCAGTGGGATTTGACTCGCCGGGGTCTGGGATCGAGAGTTGATCAGCTATGACTTCATTAAAGAAATTTTTTCCCAGTATGTCTTGTTTGTTAATTTCTTCAAAGCATATTTAAGCATTTCATGTGCGCATCCCAACATGACTCAGTATATGCCTCATTACCATGTTTATAGTTATTCAAATTACCAGTGACCTTCAGAGCTAATGGATATGTGCATGAGTCGCCCAGCTTGCATCAATGATTTGTAGGCCTCAGTAGACCATTTATTTCTCTTCTCCTGTCAGCGTCAGCTTTTTCTTGACTGCTGTGGTATTGCCCACTTGGTCCAGGGGCCCCATGGGAGAGGAGGGCTGTCAGAGGTGAGCTGGGCTTACAGGGAGTTCTGAGCCTGGCACTGAAGGAGAAGGGCCTGACTTTGCAGAAGAAAATGAAACTGGCTTTTGGAGTGACTTGTCAGGAGAGACTGCTGAGATGGCATCCACATGTCAAGTCAGGCCCTGCTGAAGTCCAGCTGAATCCAAGCTGCTCCTTTGAGTGCTGTCCTTTTGGTGTGCCAGGCATAAATTGCTGTAGCTTCAGAGCTCCTTGGCACCCATCTGCTCTTCTCCCTGCCAGCCCAAAGCTCATGTTCTCTGTACCTCATTTCTGAAGAAGTTGCGTGTTTATACAGCAAGGAAAGTTTGAATGAGCTGACTGAGGCTGAGGTATCTACCTTCTTCAGCTCAGCCTTCACTGGTAAGACTAGGCTTCAGCAATCCCAGCTCCCTGAGACCAGTGGGATAGTCCATGGCAAGGTAGGCACACCCTCAGTGGAGGAGGATCAGGTTAGGGAGCATTCAAACAGACTTGGACATATGTGAGTCCATGGGCCTGATGAGATGCACCCATGAGTGCTGAGGGAGCTGGCTGATGGTTTTGCCAGGCTGCTCTTGATCATCTTTGAAAGGTCATGGTGGTCAGGAGAGGTTCCTGATGACTGGAAGAAAGCATATGCCACTCCTGTCTTCAAGAAGGGGAAGGAGGAGAGTGTGGGGAACTCCAGGCTGGTCAGTCTCACCTTGACCCCTGGGAAGGTGATGGAGCAACTAACCCTGGAAACCATTTCCAAACTCATGAAGGACAAGATGGTGATTGGGAGTAACCAGTCTGGATTTGTGAAGGGGAAATCCTGCTTAACCAAGCTGATCACCTTCTACAGTGAGGTGACTAGCTTGTTGGATGAGGGGAGAGCAGTGGATGTTGTTTATCTTGACTTGAGCAAGGTTTTTATGTTGTCTCACGTAACATCTTCAGAGACAACTGGTGAAATATGGATAACTTTAAGTTTTTCCTCTCATTAGAATAGACTCATTTTGCTGTTACCTTAAAATCTGTGTTCAGCTTGATGCCAGACAGGCTGAAACTTCAGTCCTTCAAATCCTCAAGAAGTAGCAAATCTTAAAAAGGAATACTATGTGATTGAAGAGCCAAGCATAACAATACAAGAACAGAAGGCTCTGGAGAGCTGGATGAGCTCTCCTCTATGAAGGGCTGGTTTGGAAGTTGGAAATACAACATACTAGAAAAGGGAAATATTCCACTGGGAAGTATTAGCAGAGCTTCTAAGGCATGGACAAGAGTGGTGGGAAATAAGGTACGGGATTTGGGTCTATTCCAAATTGTGACAACGTCATAACCTTTGGAGAGCAGGAGCATTTGCATCTCAAGAAAAGATCTAGAGAAGAGACTGAAATGAGTCTCCTGTTTGGCTTATAAATCAGGCTTGCTTGTTTGTTTGTTTTTTTCCCTTGCTTCCTATAGGACTAATGCCTAGGCACAGGCAATCATGAAGTTCCTCTTCTTCGGGAATTTGCTTTGCTGGGCATGGAGCAGTGCTTAATTTATTAATAACTCCGGTGTTTGGATTTAGCTATGAATAACACATGGGCACTATGGTGATGGGTGCAGGGATAAATCTGATAGTGCTGTCTGGGAAGTGTTAGGAGGGAGCTGAATTGGAAAGGTAGCAGCACATGGTAGAGTGTGGATGTGTCTATGCCTTCTGCCAGTCGGGATATCAAATACCATAGTAATTCAGGTGTTTATTTGTTAACTAATTTAAAAAAAAAAAAAAAAAAGTTGTCCACTCAGTTACCGGCAACAGAAATCCCAGCCTGGCAGTAGGACCGGGGTCCATGTTGGGGGTAAGGTGTGCTGCCGTGTGCGTAATCACATGCTCTTTTTTCCTGAGCTGAAAGTCCCGTAAATCTGCCAACTGGGAGTTAAGCTTTATGTTATATTCCCACCACTGGCACTTGTCTGCCTTACCTGGGAAAGACGGCTTTCCCTTCCAGCCCTGCGCGTCTCTCAGGGAAGGTGGTGAACACCCAGGAGCAGCAGGAGCACGTTCCCCAGAGGTGTTGGGCCCGACAGACATACCAAGAGCACAAGGACTCCTGCGTGGTCGGGACTGCTGATATTTTGGATCAAGACAGGAAAAGAGAAAAGAAACTATTTTCCTCAGATGTCTTTGACTTGGAAGGCACTACTGCACTAATGAAGAGAGCTAATTACGCAGTGATTTGTGTAGAGATTACCAGCTGGAGCAGAAAGCAGTGCAGCTAACACACATGAAGCCTGAATGCTGAAGGAGGTGCAGGGAGGGACCCTGGGGGGTAGTGGAGGTCAGCAGGATGACACAGAGGTGACAGGCAGTAGTGTGGTCATTTGAGCACAGTGCTCCTGCCTCCCCCCTGCCTCCCTGTGCAATGGTGAAGCAGAGACATCCAGGAGAGAGGAGTCAAGCATGCTAGCCTCCACGGCCCTTTATGGCCTTCAGGACAGATGCCTCACTGTGTTTCAGCTGTAGGTGGAAGTGTCTTCATGGGGAGGTAATCTGAGAGGACGGCTTTTTGGGAGTGGGGGCTCACCCTTTCAAAATGGGCATTTTTGTGCGTTCTGCAGAGTGCCCTGCCCGTTCTGAGGTGATAGGTAAAAATGCGAGGAGTGATGGGATACTGGGAATTGTGCAGAACCCTTGTGCCTATGGAGAAGACGAGCAGTAACTGCTGTTTGTGTGGCTCTGACACTATGCACAGCCATAGGATACTTGCATAGCCCCGTGGTACAAATTTTGTTATTATCAAAGAGTTTATCTCAAGAGCTATTCCTACTGAGGATCGAAGATCCAGTTGCTGGGGATTGCATGGTGGTTTCATTTGCTTGGTGGTCTCTTGCATCTAGAGCTGAATAACTGCTGATCAGCTCTGCTCATTCTGCCTGGTTGCAGTGCAGCCTTAGGAGAACGAGACAGTAAGGTTTCCCCATGCTTGCTGATTGCCTCATCACTGTCATCCCATTGCCAAAAGGCCTTTTTGGTAATCAGCCGCAGGAGGTTTCTCATCTTTTATGGGGGCCTGCCTGATGGTTTGAGGGAGCATCCAGCAGCCTCCAAGGTCACTGCCTTTGTGCTGGGTCAGGTCTCGAGACTTGTCTGCAAACCTGCAGTCTCTGCCTCTGGGAGAAGCAGCTTTCTTTAACTGCCAAATTCGTTTGAGTATGTTTCAGATCGTAGGCAAGTTCAAAATGAAGATGAAGTTTCTGCTATCAAAGCCACAAGGTTAAGTTATGATTACAAAGTTGGAGAAATAGCCATAGGAAAAAAGCAAAAGATAAGATGATGCAAGTTTAAAGTAGACCCGACGTCAGCCTTACTTCACCTGTTGTCCAGGGATTTGTTGAGGAGCTTAAGAATCCAGTTTAGTGTCTCCTCTTTGTAGGAGGGGGTTTTATAACGGTTCCTGAAGTTTCAAAGCAAGTCCCAAGAAACTCCACGTCTCTGTGATAATCAAGGGGATCTCTTGATGAGGTGGGCTTGTTTTCAAGAACTTGTTATCCAGATAATGCTGAGGGAATACTTTTGAGATCATTTGAGATCATTTGAGATTTCACTCTGACAGCAGGGATGCTGACTCTTCTGTTTGTTTTTTGACTGGATGTCAAATGAATTGCCATTACGAATGTTTTCCAAAGGATGTATCAAAAGCTTATCACTTTCGGGGGATGTGCAGCAGTTTCTCTTGATCTGTAGCATTTTATAGACTACATCTAACACATTAATTCACAATCTGTTCCAGAGACCACTGTGTTACAAGGAGTTAGGAAAGCGTTGTGAGCCGTGGTAACCTGAAAACATATGTAACCGCTTTCCTTCTCCACTTTCTTGGATCAGGATGGTGCAATTAATTGGCCTTGTAAGTGTTTGAATTCAAGTGAGAGGTGTGCATCAGCCATTTTCTGGATAAAATAGGGGTAATATCTGGGCACTCTGGATATAATATCTACAGAAAGGTTGGTAACAATTCTCGCCTCCCTTTTTTCTCTCTTGCATTGTGCACATTTTTGTTCTTTTAGGTGCTCTGGGAATGACAATCGTTTTCTCTGTGGCCATAGGAAATGTAATGGTCACATCCAATACATTTGTAAATGTCCCAAAACAATCCAGATCTTTCTTGCAGAGCCTGCTAGCATAAGGTGTGGGGGATCCAGTTGCAGGGAACTAGGAGATGACAGCTGACATCAAACATACATTTGCTGGCAGTGGTTTTCATAGCAGAAACCTCAAACTGTTTTGTAACCTCAGACTGTGCTGGCTAGTCTGCTTTGGACCCCAGTTCATTCTTCAGGTGTAATAAGAAGTGCTGGTTTTGTCTGTAGCTCTTTAGTAGTTTGTATCCTGGCTACCTGAAAGCCATCCTTTTCAGCTGGCAGTTGGTGAGGAGTTCAAGCTGATAGTTCCCTGGTTTAATGAGGATGCTCCTGATGTGTTTCTCCATTAAAATCTCCTTGACTCTGAATTCATTTAATCTTCAGAGCACATTTCAAGACTTCCTTTCTGTTTCTCTAAGCTTTGAGCAAGTGAAAACAAGGCTTAATGGGTTGGGAGAGTTTTGCTGTGACAGTGAAGTACCTTCCTGTTTGCTGTGTCATTTAGAGTGAAACAGCTCTTGGTTTTTTGAGCACAGGCCAGTCAGGACACCCCAGTTCTCAGAGTGACTTGTATTGTTGTCCTGGCCGTTTTCTTTCCCTCTCCCCATCTCATTTTCCTTATGGGGCTGTGAGTTCTCTATTGCTCTGAGGATGTTGGGAGTTACAGTAGGTAGCATGGTTCCTGGAAATGGTTTTATCAGAGCCCGTGTTATGTCTGGGTCCCTCATCAACAATCCTTGTTACAAAGATGGATACTACCTGTTCGTTGTTTAATTTTTGCAGCACGTGGCTGCATGAAGGCCATTGTCTACACTGTCTCTCTTCTGGACATGGGTGAAAGAAGCTTTTGAAGGCTTCTTGAGGTGCTTTCTTCCTCCAGACCACTCCTGACCCCCGACAGATCTTCTGTGCTCTGCCCTTTTGTGTTTCCGCTGTGTTAACACTATACGAAGGTCATGCTGGCCTTCCCTTTTTCTGGGAGCCCTGCTCATTCTCATGTACCTGTTTCTTCCTTCCCACAGTGCTGAGTATTGGCGAAGGTGGCTTTTGGGAAGGAACCGTGAAAGGAAGGACTGGCTGGTTCCCGGCAGAATGTGTTGAGGAGGTGCAGATGCGACAGTATGATCCACGGCAAGGTAAGCTGTTTTTTTAGATCTGAGTGTCTCTCAGCAGACACACTGAACAGCCCCAGAAATTCAGAAGTATTCATTTTAAATTTCTAGCAGTCTCTTAGTTTGCCCATTCTTTGCAATGGGCGATGGATGCATCTGAAGAATTGTATTGCTCAAGGTGTTAGTTTATGTTACTGAGTGCATTAGCATCCAGTAGTAGACACGCTGATCCATGGTAAGTATGTGGTACTGTCATGAGGAGAGCAATCATCGGTCCCTTTTGCGGAGATTGCTGCAGTGGCAGGGTCTTCTGTAGGCAACAGTGGGTGATGGAGCAAGAGAGTGTGACTGTTGATCTGAACCTCCAACCCCGCACTACGTTGTAGGAGACTTCAAAAGAAAGCAGTAGATGAATCCTGAGTAATTTACATGTGTTTATTCTAGTCCAACAGAAAATACTAAAAATGGCTGTGACTCAGCCCTGGCACTCCTGACCCTCCGTCTCCAGCACCAGCCACCACCTAACAGGTATTTGCTGTTCCTGGGGAACAGTGGTGTCAGGAGGAGCTGCAGATTGCACGTGCCAAACATTACAGTGTTCTTGGAGGTCACCATGACTTAATGGGTTTCCTGCTGTTGTAGGGTGTATCACCACAGCTTACCCCTTGTCACTGACAGCTGCCCAGGCAGCGTTCCTCTCCCAGCCTGAAGACTGGGTGCGAAACACTTCTGGCAAGCCTGAACTTGTCCCGGTGTAAAGCAACTGATGAGAACATCTGGATTTTTTTTTTCCCCCAATGTATTACTTAGGAGAGGGAAGAAGTGGTCCTGATTTGACAGATTCAGTGAAGTTCGCTTTGCATGTTAAATGAGCTTTAAAATTTACACAGCTGGATTCTGGTAAGTGAGAGTTAAACCTTGATTGTGAAGTTGGAAACACAGTTGTAGAAGAGAAAAGAGAATCAATAAAATACAGTTCTCTGTTTTGCACAACAACTAATTTTAATTAGTTTCTGGAAGCTGAACCCACTTATAAAGTCTTTTCTTTGCTCTAATCCCAGTCCTTCCTGAGAGTTTTAAATGTATATGTTTGCACCCTCAGGCATCTCCTTACCAGGATGCATGGATTCCATAAGTGAGCCACTAACTCTGTGCATGCTGTGATGAGTATGTGGCAGGTCGCATGTCCTCTGGGACACTTGCACGTCAGTCCCTATGGATGAAGTATTAAGTGCCTCTGGGGCCTGGTCTTGTGGCCATGGAGGGTGTAGTGGGAGTAGAACTCCACCGGTAGCACTATGAACCTGCACACTGCAGGGTCTAATCAGCAAAGCTTTTCTCCCCCCGCCTCTGATTTGGTTCAGCTGTTAGCTCTCCAGTCTGCAGTTCCAGCTTGTGTTCCCAATGCTCATTCATATTTTTTCTAAAAATTATCTTTGTATGTGCTTCATCTTACTGCACTGGTCACCCCTGCCTTTGCACTCTCCTGGCCAGAGAAGGCTCTTGACTGAGCATGGTGTTGTGAACTCAGCTGCGCTCTGGGCCCATTAGAAGTGAAGCAGATCTGTTTCTGTTGTGCTGATGGGAAACGCTTGATGACTGAAGACTTGAATGGGATATTCTTCCTTTTTCAGGGATGATTAGGGCTGATGAGTTGAGACTTCCACTGAGGAGGTTCCACCTTCTGCTGTCTCGTGCTCCTTTGGAGCTCTGCTCTGGAGCCATTTCAGTGTGCAGGGGTTGTTTGCCCTGTCCTTTTGTGATGCTAAATCAAAAAGAGAGTAGACTAATTGATGTGGTTTATAAGCTCTTCCTGTATCTAGGAGTTCATGTTTGCTGGGTGCTTCCTTGGAGAATGTTATGTGTTTGGGTTAAATTGAAATTGTGTAGTGAAATGTGAAAAACAGATGGTGTTTAGACACTAAAGCTGGAGCAGAGGTATGAGCATTTTCTTCCAGTTGTCCATACTGTTTAGTTGTTGGCATGCCCCCCGGCGTGGTTTTGGCTTTTGCCGACTTCTACTTTTCCAGACAAAGCTTGGGCACAGTTTTCAGGTACAGATTGTTTGCAGAAGGTAGTTTGGATAAGGCCATGACGTTTGTGCACATAAGAAAGTTTAGCTGCATGGACATGATGTTGCTCTGCCACTTCTCATCAAGATCAAAGAAAGAGAAGTGTCTATCTTACGAGTTAAGTATAACCTAACAGCTGATTGGGCTGAGCGCTGGTGGAAAGGCTTTGGCCTGACTATACTTTGCCAGGGAGCAAAGCCACATCAGCCTTGTGGACATCTCCAACTGTGTTTATTGATTGAGGAAAGTAGCAGGGTTGCATGGCAGATACCTGACTAGACTCTTGTTGGAACAGATTGAAGATGATTGTGACAAGGATGAGAGCAGCTCAGGAAATTCATTGAGATCTTAATTGAAATTCAGAGAGAGCAACTTTCAGAGTTGACATTTTGGAGATGTTCCTTTAACCTGCATGTATTTTCATGCTTTGAGGGAAAAGGCCATGAGCTACATATTGATCTACCTAAATGAGCCAAGTTCTTCTCTAAGGGTGTCTCTGGGTCAGCACTTCCCTCCCGGGTCCCAGTTTATAGACACTGCGGTGCTTGCTGACTCTGAAGAAAGATGTCCTGTTGCCCACCTCTGTTACAGGCCCCAAGGCAGAAACTTAAGTTTCTCACTTCCCAGTGAGGCTCTCCTTAGATATCTCCTGTCTGTGGAACTGAAATCCTTTGGGGCCTAAAAAGAGTTTCTTTGGTAAATAACTCAAACTTTCTATATGTTCTAAATGTATTTCTTCTGGCCCTACTGAGTCGGAGATCTCTGCTTTTGCCCGTCTTCCTATAGAGATGATTCTTCTAGTATCATCCTGACATCCCAAGAGGAGATCCAAGTTCTAGTTATCAGTCCCATCACTTCATTACACACTTTTATTCCTGTCTGCACCTCCTCTAACACCATACCCTATATTCTACTTAAAGTGGTGTGACATTTCTATTGGATTCAGGGAATTAATCTTTTTGTGCCTTCCATGTGGTTGAAACAGGCCTTGTCTTTCTGCCAATATAGGATCAAGCTCATCAGGTGGTCCTCACAGCTGTTGGTAGTCTGAGATCTGTGGGTGTAAGAACCTGCATGCAAACACCAGCTAGTCAAATCTCCCTGTCTCTGGATCCACTATGAGATTATGGTATGTAGACCTGCCCTTGGGCAGTGGGAGTACCTCCCCTCAGATCTCAAGGTGGATCGTGTGATTCCACACAGGAATGTCTTTGTCTCCCGGAGTGGAGGCACTGGTGGAGCTGGGGACCGGAGGGACTGCGCTCCCACTCCCACTTGTCGAGCAGCCACTTGGAGCTTCATTCACGCTTGCAGAGATGCTGCAGAGTGTCACCAGGGGATGTGACAGGTACCATGGGTGGGCAGCACTTGTACAAGTACCTGAGAGACTGCAGATCTATCTCCAAGTGATGCAGGAAGATGATCTTTCATGGCGTGAATGCATGTAGTGCTCTGACTAAAATGAAACAGAGAAAGAGGTTATTTGTCAGTGACCATTTTTCAGCATGTCCAGCCTACATGTATGTCCACCTCCCATTCTCCTTCCTCTCCTCCTCAGCATGTCCCCAAAGACCACAGCTCACGGTTTAGAGAGCACCAGGTCACTGAGCGTGAGCTGCCTGATGTGCATCATCAACAAGGGAAGGAGGCACATGCTCCTGTGGCTTATGCTAGAGCTAAAGCCCTTTGCCTGGAGTGGTGATGCCCAGGCACATGCAAGTGGTGGTTCCCGGTGCTGGTAAGTCACCTGCTATTCAGCCACTGAAAGCATTGAGAGAAGGAGTGCTCGGTGAAGGGACTCTACCCAAACGTCTGGTCCCTCAGAAATCAAAGTGGCTTTAAATGAAGAAATGAGGGGGGGTGATTTGGATAGGCTGCTATCTGCATTGCTAGTTTTGGTACAAGATGAGGAAAATCAAATAGACGTTGACATATCTTTGCCTAAAGAAACATAAGAGAGGAGGCGAGTGGACAGGTGAAAGCAACAGCAAAGCAGGCAGACTGCTCTGAGAAGAGGCTGTCTTCTCTGCCGATGGAATTGATGGTGGCCAGTAAGATAAGGCTCAGGTATTTAGAATACAAATGCCAGCTCATGAGTGCAGAGGGGAAGAAGCTGAGCCAAGTGATTTGGTCAGTACAAGAGCTGTTATGGGTGAGAACAGGCCAGAGCAGCACACGTGTGCTTTAAGGAAAGGTAGAGGTAATGATAAAGCTGAGGGTAGGAAGTGTGTGAGATGCATGGACTGTGCAGAAACAAAGATAGGACAAAAATATATACCTTTACATTGCTCTGGAAAATGATGGCATAAGATATCCTGGCAATAAGGATAGAGTCTAGATTTTTATATTCGATAAAGAATAAAAATGTAGTGAAGTAAATGGAGTAAAATGACTGTCTTCAGTCAGTTAAAATAGAGGTGGAATTTTGAGTGAATGTTTTAAGTCCAAGCTACAAAAACCTGCCATAACATGTATTCCTGGCAAAAAAGAAATCCTGCAGGTAGGGAATCCAAATGCGATTGTCCCTAGGCCTCTAGGAATAAGCAAAGCTCTCAAAGAACAAAGACTAAGATTCATCTGCAAAAAAGTCTGTATTGGGGGATCTGAAATCATAAATGTAAGATGCAACTTGCCAAAAACTCAGCTGAGCTAGACCTTGAGAGTGTTAAGAGGAGTAATAGTAGATTCTTCAGCTGTACAAATAAAAGAGTAAGGAAAGAGGATGTAGAGCTATTAAGCAACAAGAATGAGATAAGATCAAAGCTAATTAGATAAAGGTCCAAATCTACCAGAACAGTTCCTTGTCAAAACAGGCACAACGTTGGAAGGATGGGCTATGGTGGGACCGATACTGCCAGCTGGGGAGAACAATGTCAGGGCTCTGAGGGCACTAATATGTCTTAATGTCCCTGACCAGCTTCACCTGGGAACTCCTCCTACACCACTGGTCAC